GGACTGGTGTCCAGGTGATTCAGAGGAGGGCCGTGGGCCGAAGTGGAAGTGTAAAATTGGACGATACATCCTGACTGAAGCTGGGTGGTGGGTCCCCGGGGACTGCTGGCACTCCTTCCCTTTATCTACTTCTGTGGCTCTGGGGCACCGCCAGGAGGAGCTGGGGCAGACCAATCTGCTCACCTGCTTGAGTTGCAGCACGGTGCCCAGGGTCTCCACCATCGGGTTCTTCTTGTAATGCTCCACGAGGTCCGTCAGCGAGTCAAACCGCTCTCCTCCACCGACATCGTACTTCATTTCCTGTCGAGACAAAGCAGTGGAGCGGTGGGACCTCTGTGTCCCGTTAGTGCTTTCCCCGCCTGAAGCACAGGAGGCGGACTCTGGGCCCAGGAATGGAGAGACCACACAACTGCTGCATGGCCACAGAGGAGAGGGGGCCACGTGGAGGGCGAGAATGGAGAGACCGAGTAATGTGAGTGAATGGGTCACTGGAAAAGGACCCCGTTTACCAGTTCACAAAAATGTTTCTCCCTCGTGGGTTAATGAAGTTAAAGAAATGGAACTTTTAAAAAAACCAAGAAACTATACTCTTTTCTATACTCAAGTTAAAGGATTGCTGAATAGAAGGAAAATGACTTTTTTCTCTGAAGCATTACCAACTGAGGCTGGGGAGCAGTGCTGGTGGCCAGTATACACCAAACCAAGCCACACTGGCTGCATTCAAGTTGATTCCAACTCACAGTGACCCTTTCAAGACGGAATAGAACGGCCCCTGTGGGTTTCCGAAGTTGCATATTTTCCAGAGGAGGTGTAAGCCTCATTTCTTTCCCACAGAGAGGCTGGTGGGTTTGAACCGCTAACACTGTGGTTAGCAGCCCAACTCCTAACTCACTGCACCACCTAACTCACTGCTTCTTAAACAGAGACCAGGGCATTTTTTTCCTGATAAGATCCAAATAGGCTACTGAAGGACAACAGTAGAAAAAGAGTTAAGCTAAGAAAACACAATCGCCCTATGAAGACATTTGGGGGCTATCCTTCAAAAAGAGAACTGGAGAGGTGAGGCGCACTCCCTGAACGACAGAGTAAGCACCGCTGGAAATCCATCTCTCCCTAAAAGCAAGAATAATGACAAGCCCTGGGAAAACGAACCTTTACAGGATTCTGGAAATTAAACTGTGC